CTAGTTATATTATAGGGTTAGAAACTAGCCGGTGCGAAATACCACAAGCAAGGATACCTCGTTTCCTGTCTTGGACTTAATTAACCTCAAATGGTTGTGGTTCTGAGAAATTCAATCAAAGCTACATCCCTAAAAGTAGGAGTTCAGATTAGTAGGCTCCTTTTAATGGTGAAGAGACGCTTGTTTTTTGAAGGCGTTGAATCTCACAAGATTAGCATCGCATCATTAATAAACTTTTAAACATGTTGAACATCTTAATAAAACCTTTAATCAGAAATAATAGTTATATTTTTAACATTTTCCATGCTGCACTGGAATAGCTAAAATGTTTTAACTTAAACTTACCTAAGGATAAATAAAACCTGCAGCGGAAATCATGAAACAGAAACTTTTTTATTCAATATAGATTATAAATAATCCTTATTGAAAGTCACTCTTTTGTTTGATTACCACTGGTTCGGAAAAAACCTCTGTCCTGGGAAGAACCAGCAAGAAACCCAGCGGGACTTTTTTTTTAAGATAACAGCTTACAGTCATGATGTTACACAAATTAACAACACAAAAAATTAAAAATAGCTTGGTAGCGATCACCTCATTTCCAGGGGTTATTATCATCCATAAATTCCTTAATATTATAATAACCCTTTTCATACAAACTTAGTTGAACTTTGAGCTGGCCAAACTTTGTATATTTTCTGGAATTTTGTTGTAAAAGCGTATACATCGCCCCAAGAATGAATTACTGACTCGATGGAGTCGAGTAACTGGTACTACTAGCTTGTGTCTGTTCCTAGTATTTACAGAATGAATATCACATATTTTTGTGAAACTACTTTTATTTTTGTGTACGTACATTACATTTTCATAAATGTATTGAGAGGCTAAAGTTAATATATTAATTTCCTTAAATTTTTGTCGCAGCGACTCTTTAGGCTTTAAATCATAAATTGCTCTTATGGCCCTCTTCTGTAAAACAAATATAATTTCAGTGTCAGCTGCGTGTCCCCATAGCAAAATACCATACGACATTATGCTATGGAAATAGCTAAAGTAAACTAGTCTAGCTGTTTCAACGCTGGTTAGACTTCTAATCTTTTTTACGGCATATGCTGCAGAACTAAGTCTGCTTGCTAGTTTTGATATATGGGGGCTCCATTGAAGCTTCGCGTCTAGTGTGATTCCAAGAAAAATGGTGGTATCTACAAGACTCAGTTTCTCCCCATTTAAAGTTACATTAGTATTTAATTGTTTGACATTTGGTGTCATAAATTTCATACATTTCGTTTTAGTGCCATTTAAATGCAAATTATTAACATTAAACCAATTTACTAATTTAGATATAGCATTATTTACTTCGTCATATTTTAGCAATTGTCGACTTAATTTGAAAATTAAAGAAGTGTCATCTGCAAATAATACTATATCATGTAAAAGTAAAGTCAGTGTATACTCCGTCCGACTACTGAGCACAGGCCTCCTCTCATTTCTGAGAGGGTAGGGCACGGAAATGTGCGCCGCGCTTGGCGAATTTCACATGTCTTCGAAATATTTTTTTTTTGCAGAAATATAAACAGAAAATTTTTTTGCAGAAAAAATAATAACCTAAAAGTTGCTGATCTAAAATAAATACCTGAACTTGGGATCATAATCAGTCATATCAGTCTATTATTTTATTCGCGAAGTACTAGCCAAATAGCAATCCTGGTAGTTCCACTTAACCTTACCAAAGTGCAATAGTAGTGTCCATATCAGACCTATTTTTAGAAATATTAGGATCAGGAGATTGAGTTTTGAAAACACATAGTTTTGTTTAAAAAAATATTTAATATAAATTTTACGACAACCCAATTAACATTTCAGTTTTATCAGTTGACTAGAAATAATACTAACGTTAGATATATCTCTATATATTAGTGTTTATCATAAAGTTTAAAACATTTATTTGCTTATTAAGAACTGAATTTTACGTAAAAATACATTTAAGAGAACAATAACTGTTAGTATTAGACAGGCACTCTGGTAATGATCAATTTATTTCGATTGTGATTTCGAACTAAAGACATAAAAACTGTATTCACCTCTGCCCGATTCGTATATTATGTAATGTTAATATTTGGCAAATTAAATTGTTATATTTGAAACAGTTAAAATCTTCTTTGGTATATAAAAACTAGAGAGTAGAGAAATTTAAATATATTCCAATTTAAATATGTACTACCATTTGTAATCTGAAATAGGAATCACTACATGCGTAAAGTATTAGAAACTATTTTTAACAGTATTGACAGTTTTTATTTCAAAGAAATAAAAAGGCAAATTAGATTTTAGGCCGTTTTTGCATCCTAAGGTTGGCATGTTGGTGATAATTTTTTAAGATTTTCAATACTTGTTTCTACTTAACAAACACATCTGTTATAACCACTTGTAATACCGGTGATAGTTATAGTATTTATTTAAACATTTTATTAATTGCACTGATCTATTCAAACCAAAAGTCAAGTGCGACAGTTGCGTTCAGTTTTGCCTCTTCTGCTACCTATTTAACGCTTTCCTTTATTAAACTATTTTTTTTTGTTGCCATACATATATTTAATTAACTTTTCACAATTCTGTACTATAAATTATATGTCTCCAGGTATTAATGACGTAGAAAATGTTATATGTGTTATACATGTTATATTATATTTGTGACGAATTATTATGTTTTTCTTATTTAAGTATGAAAAATATTTATTCCTAATATGATTATATATACTGTGGTTATAATATTATTCATTGAATATTTTACCAAAATACCAAATCATGATTTTTTCAATTAACTGAAAATAGAAGCTAATCTCCTGATGTTTTATATTTTAAGTATATTTTATATTATATCACTATATTAATTGAGTATATCTTTAAAATTGTGACTTGAGTAACTACACGATATGAAGGGAATTGCAAAATATGGAAAATATTCTTTTTTATTTTTGTTGGTACAAAGAGTAATCACAATTTAAAAGAGCCAAATATCTTATATTAACTTATAAGGTATATTTATTATAAGAATTTTATTTATTACTTTGGTATACTATACAATATTTAAAATTATATTTTAACAGTCGGTAATAAAAACGAAATGACATTTTAGACAATAATGTGATTTTGTAGAGATAACACGTACTCCAAAACAAATGTTATGAAAATAGTAATTAACACTTATATTAAAATGTAACTCATACAAACCACCTTAACGGTTCAAACAAACGAATCACTAGATATACATACGTCAACGCAACTTACAGTGCTTAAACATACCAATAAAACATTTAAAACGACGAAACTATTACAACATCATTTTATGGTTATAATATAATAGTACATAGTTGAGTATTCACTTACGACTTATTTTTCAATATTCATACAAATACTTCGAAGCGTTTACTTCTCATTATTTACAACATAAGAAGACGGCGAAGCTTAATTGAAAACTATTTACAACATTTACAAAATTACTATTATTTACATAGCTAATCAATAAATCACAGCTCCTGATTGAAAATTTCAACTTTACAAAGTGAAATTTGACTAGAAATAGACCCTTAAATTAATTAGTATTTAAACGTTATGCTAAACACGTTAATTAGTAATTACTTCAGCTTTTACTTGGTATGACACTTTTTTCTTGTTCGCGTTTTTTCTCAAAGACTGACGTCGACTCTCACTTTCTAGACTAACTTCACTAACAGATTCAGAGTCTTGACAATAATTTGCATTATCTGTGAATGTTAAGTGTCTATCAACGCAATGTATTTCATCGAAACTTGAATGGGGATGTTCTAATGTCCGCATCGGAAAGGAATCTAAGCAATGTCGGTCGCCGCTCCGTCGTCCAGAGCGACGTTCCCTGCATCAAGAACAGCGTGCGCGCGGAGGTCGACAAGGGCCCGCGCGCGCCTGTTGTCACAATCGGCACATTTCGTGCTGAGACACCGATGAATACATCATTGTCGACAGGTGATACTGTAAAATAAATATAACATCAAAACTGCACTCAATCTTTGTTTTATTTTCAACTCCATTAAATGCAACTTTCATCATTTTTTCACTTTAGCACAAGTTTACATATAATTTTAGTATTGTTTAATTATTTGAACTTTTGTTTTAATTATGCTAATAAAACTTTATTCAAATATATTTTTAGCATTAAATCACATTGTGTAGTTTATAATAAGCATAATTGTTTCATGCACAAAGATAAAATCGATGCGGTCGATTAAGGTGTTGTGGGAAATGTTAAATACATACGATAAACGAAATTCTTAAAAACACAAAGAAACACTTAATTTTGGCATAAACCAGTGACGTATACAACACAACAATATACAAATGTGTAAAAAAAAAACCACATAAATATTATAAATGACTGTACGTCGTAAGCCATGCTAATAATGATCATCACTCAGCGTGAGTTGCGGTAAACCACAACGCTGATGTCCAACGATGACTAAGTCAGTTTATGAGTGATGACAACTGAATTAAAAATAAATAATCTTTAAAGTTTTAAAATAACGCTTAACTGAGATGAGAAGTGTTCATGCAGTGTTTTAGAATCTTTTATAGTTTTATTTGTACAACATTTATTTGGTGTGTAGGTTTTATAGACAAAATTACTTTTAAAACCATTGCTTATTAAATTTAAACACAAAGTGCAAATCAAATACGGTTAAGATATTAACAATTAAACGGAAAGCGAGGAGAGTAAGGTTTACACTAAAACAGAGTGCATCAGATATCGTGAGGGAAGGAGTATGTATCCACACGTACCTCTCATATATCGAGATGTTAAGACGGCTATTATCGCGGGTATCCATAAATTTTATTGCGTTTCGAGAGGATTTGATAATTTAATCTAAGTCTACAGGTGTTTAATAAATGTATTAAAATTATAAATGTAGACAATTTTTTCGCAAAAGGCACTTGGAAATACAAAATAAACTTAAGTTCTTAAAAAGTTGCTATATGAATGTTTGTTCACATGAATTTTGTCTAGTTTGCTGAATGCCCATGAGTTCACTTGATGAATAATAACGACGAGTTGTTCTGAACTGAAATTAAAATAAATAATGGATAATGCCTAAAATCAAAACAATATAATACATTCATATTTATTTCTTTTTGACGCTGATAAGATTGTCTGACTCAGTTGTTTTTTGATATTATGAATTTGTTACCCACCTGCGATTGCTTAAAACGAAGCTGAGGTTGGTATTTTCGACGCAATTTTCGAGGGCAACATGTACATAAAATTCTGAGGAAGGCCCTGTAACAAGAAAAGCTATTACATAAAGTTAATTCTAAATGCATTACTATTATAATTATAATGTACTTATCATTAGAATCATTAATTATTTATGTCAAACATCTGTGTACAAAATCATGTTCGCTTCTTAATAAATATTTCAGTATATAAAAATAAAAGAGATAATAACAATACGGCTAAGAATTAAAATAATCATTTGCTACCAACTTTTACACAGAGTATATAATCACTTTTACCGAATAATGTACAAATTTACAAGTAATGTTTTTAAATGGAAAATACGGTTGAGTTTTCAAGGATCACCGCTAAAAGATTTGTATAGAACTTAAATATTTACTAATCTAAAATGCTATGTCTAAAATTATTTCAATTGTCTGCCGTTGATTTCCGTGTCATAAAAGGCGACAGAGGAAAACTAAAACAGGAGATGTCCAGCAGCATCTTCCTGATAACTTTTCAAAATAAAAAAAAAAACTGCGGCTGCACACCTGCTTTCCCTAGAAACTGTAACAAATGTTCTCCTCCTTACCGAAATTCGGTCACGGCAGCCAGTCTCAACGAAGACAAGCTATCAACCCAGGACAGAATTAAAGTGAGAACAAAAATGTCTTTCTCAAGCGCAGATATTATATTATCTATTCCGTCACTCTTATAATCCGATGGAATGGAAATCCGACACGATTGGAGAGAGATCAAACGCAGAACAAATGAATTAACGAGCAAACGAATACACGAATTAAAGTGAAACACTTGCAACTTTCTGACTCCGAGATGCTACTGCGAATTTCTTAATAGAAAAGCTGAAATAAGGACATGTATTTTTGACCCAACCCAGGATTCGACCCGGGGACTACCTGATTAACAGTCGCGCTTACGACAACTAGATCAACGAGACAGTCTGTCACAAATATCCTGCCTAGGAGAGACCTACGTTCAACTGTGGACTGATAGGCCCAAATTGGCGTCGTCTTTTAATGAGGGCCAATAATTTTCTGTTCACCAGATGTCGCTAGTTGACACTGAGGTAAAGTTTGTTTTTAATAAAAGTTTATCAGTGTCTAGAGTATTATATTAATACACAAAACAATGCCTCAGTGGTGTGCTCTTTAATTTTTTTAATAATTCTTCTTTTTTGAATATCTGTGGGTTGGTTTATTTATTTTTAATCTTATTTATATTAAATTGACTTCCCCACTATGAAATCTGTCAAATATTATACCTCACTTTTAATAGGCGCCGCCGTGGTGGCAGAAAAATTCGTGGATACCCTCATTCCTCCCTCTTCACCCCTTTGCTGTCGATAATCCACGCATTAGAAACAACTGGTTTGCTTCGTATTTTTGCTTTTTATTTCTGATGCGTACAGACAGCAAAGGAGTGGAATACTTTGTCGGCATCTGTCTTTCCGTCCGAATACAATCAGGTGTCTTTAAGGTAAGAGTGAATACGCTCTTGTTACGCTATGACAGTGAGATTTACCATCTAGGGCTCCATCACCACTTACCACTAGGTAGGCTTGTGGTCAAGCACTGGCTTATAATAAGTAAAAAATTATCTTGTACTATAAAGTAATTTTTTTATATAGGATAAGGGTGACAAAAGAGCATACAGTTCACATGATGCTAAGTGGTTGCTGTGGCCCATAAACATCTACATCTATCAAAATGCAGATGCGTTGTCACCCGTGAGGACTAAGATGGAATGCCTCGTTTCCAGTAAAATGGGTCTCCGGTTCTCTACACTCACCATACGAACCACAGCAGCGTTAAGCTGCTATTTTACGCTGGTATTCTGTGAGAGCGTGGTCCTTCCCCGGTCGAGCCGACCCATTCGTGCTACAACCATAATATAACTGCAGCATGGCTCTACCGCCAGTAGTAAGTAAGTAATGCAGTGATACTAAAGTTAAAGTATAATTCGTTACTTATACGGTTACACATGCGGCTCTATACTGACGTTATTATCTGTTAAGGTGTAATTGAAAACAACCACGATAACAGTAGACAGATATGAAGTTATTATTTATGGTATACTTTTATACTTAAAATGTATGTGTTAACAAAAGACACCTTACTACATACTCTCTATTTTAGATTCAAATAAGAAAATCATTACGTATTATCTATCCCAAGTTTTATTTATTTTTATTATAATTATTGATAAAAATTGAAAAATATACCTTCTAAAGTCACGGCTCCAGCATGCATAAATTACAGGATTCATCGAAGAGTTGACCCAGCCAAGCCACGTTACAACTACGTTCACAATTTCCTCATGGGCAATACAAGACGAACATATGCCAGATAATAAGTTCACTACAAAGAAGGGCAGCCAACACACAATAAATACTCCCATGACAATACCTAAAGTCTTTGCAGCTTTCTTTTCTTTTGCAAACTTAGCAAGTTTTTTGGAAAGTGAAAAGTTCTTTGGCACATGCTTGTTATGTGCAACATTTGTTATACGAGTTGAAGACCGTGATAGACCGTTATTTTGTAATGCAGTTAAAGGCTCTTGATCAGCTTCTTCAGGAGTACAACCTCCATGACAAACATCCGCTCTCTGACGTACTGTACCTCCGCGGTGAATTCTTAAAGTTAACTCTAGCTCACCACCGGGCCTCATTACTTGCTTCGTTCCAATTTTAAGGGATCTTGTCTGAATAGACGCTGCACGATATATACGATAATACGTGAACACCATAACAAACAAAGGAAGATAAAAGGATATAGTTGATGAAAATATTATATATTCTAAGTTTTCCGTAAAAGGGCATTTATAATCCGGAACTTCTTCCAAACGTACTGCTCGCCACCAAGCTATAGCTGGAAATGATATAGCACCGGAACAAACCCATACAGCTGCTATAAGAAAAGCTGCTTTTCGACCACTCATACGCATCGGGTATGTTATCGGATCTGTGATAGCCCAGTATCGATCTAGTGATATAACACATAAATTAAGTATCGAAGCTGTACTAAATAAAACATCCAAAGATCTCCAAACATCACACCAGTCTACGCCAAAAAACCATGTGTGTTCTAAAACTTCATATAGTGCTGAGAATGGCATCACAACAAGGCCCACTAAGCAGTCTGCTACTGCAAGTGATGTGACAAAATAATTTGTTGATGTTTGCAAATACCGTTCACGTATTACCGCCAAAATTACAAGCATATTTCCAAAAACAGTAGTAAGTGAAAACAAAAGAAGAAAAGTAACAAGAAGAGCTCTATCTCTAAGCAGATGTATGTAGTCGTTCCAGAGTTCGACCGAATCATCTGTTGCATTATAACTTGAACTATTATCAAAAGTAGCATTAAAATCAATTACAACATTGTAAGCAACACCCTTTGGCTCAAATATGTATTCAGGTCCTAATTGCGAAATTTCATGCTGGCCCTTTGCCAACAATATATCAGGTTCGGTGGCGTTCATATTTCGAAATTGTTATTCGATCTCTAGCGCCATGGCCTGGGTTTATATTTCCCTTGTTTCGTTTGCAACCATTTAGAGATTATATTCTGGACAGACATCGTTTTCCCTAATTTCAGTTTTAAGTCCATGTTCCATTTGCATATTTCGTTTTCTCTATGAGATACTCTCCCGTTTCTGAAACAAAAAACAAAGACGTTTAAATAGACGTTACCGCAAGAAATATATATAAAAATATTTTATAATGTAAATAATATTAAATTATTATTTGTTATTTTATAAGAATCTGAGAATTTCTTGTTGAACTTATTTATATGTCATTTCTCAAAGAATTGTATCTGCGACTAATAGTCGTTGCTATTGATAGAGAACCAATTTTTTTGTGCTCTTACAATAAACACGGCAATTCGAGAAAGAACTCTGGCTGCATTCTTTCTTGATCTGCTTTCTTAAAGTATTCATACATGCCGCCTTATATAGTTATAGCAACTTCTCTTCTTTCTCACGTCAGAAGGCTAAAGTTATTCCATGTGCCTTAACTGTAAATACACTGGCTTTCTATATCCATGGCCTCAGGAATAGCTAAGAAAGTAGTATCTATCCTGACGAATTCCTAGGCAGAAAAGGACCATTACCACCTAGCATATTATATTAATCTATATTATCAACAACCCTTTAGTCTGTAGAACAGATTAAATATTATTTAATATTACAATTTAACGCATATCTATCACTATATTTATATATTCACGATAATGTAAGAGTTTAATATTTAAAAATGGCAATAAATATCAGTATCATACAATATTCTAATAAACATGTACCTGCTTGAATTCAATATAAATAGCATTCAGTGAAGAGGCGGAAAGATCAAACAAATTGTGTTCTATGGACCGTGAACAACCTATCCACATGAGGGCGCTTGAAGAGAACTCCTTTCGTCATATACTGTTCACAGTTATTTCTCTTTAAATTGAGAATCTTGTTTAATTTATTAATAAAAACTTTCGCTCGTCATAAACGTTGAAGCATCTCACTTAAACCTTTTAGTATAAAGCTTTTATTTATGACAGCAATCTTGATTGATTTAGACCACGTTGATGGGTTCCAGTTTTATGTAAGGAAGAATACTATACAAACAGGGAATAAGGTTGATATTTGGAGGAAATTTTACACGCTAAATAACTAATATTATTTAAAATAATAATTAAATGGTTTTTCAGAAATTAATACTATAATGCGCTATCTACCATTAGTCTATATCATCTATATCTAGTTAAGGTAGCCGGGTTACTATGACATTGGGACGTTGTACTTCTCGGTATGACCCCATGTTAGTCCTGGATTGTGGAGCGTGTAACAGTTTTGTTATTGAACGACGAGGGATATTGTATGGTACATTAAGTGAGAAATATTGCAGTAGTTTTTCCTTTATAGGATAAGGGTGACAAGCGAGTACACAGTCCACCTGATGGTAAGTGGTTGCTGTGGCCCATAGACATCTACATCTATCCTCGTTTGCGAATCAAAATGCACATGAGTTGCCTCCCGTGAGGACTAAGATGGAATGCCTCTTTTCCAGTAAAAAGGGTCTCCTGTTCTCTGTACTCACCATGCGAAACACAGCAGCATTAAGCTGCTATTTTACGCTGGTATTCTGTGAGAGCGTGGTTCTTCCCCGGTCGAGCCGACCCATTCGTGCTACAACTATACAATTAATATAGATGCAGCATGGCTCTACTACGTATACAGTAAGTAATTCACAGTAAGAAGTCCATTCGTTGACTGTTTTATATAAAACCAGCAGGTCGTGAATTTTTGTTCTGCCCTTCAGGGAAGGTATTTCAAAGATACAAGATTCAAAATTTTTATTTGCATCAAACATGGTAAATACAGGTGTTAATTACATATACTTTAGGCCAAACATGTTTCACCGCTTACATAATCAAATTAAAGTCTGTGGCTAATTCATTTACTCATTATTAAGTTAATAATTACAAAATATGAATAGATACATTGAAATCAAAATTTATACGTAATTACTCATTAGATAATTATTAAATGCCAATTGCTGTTTGTAGGGACACCTATATGAAATTCCACTACCTAAGAAGGCAAAATATCGTGTAAAGGCCCTCTGAATACCTTCTATTCTTTGCGAGTGCACATCATATATTGGGTTCCATAGTGTACTTGCATATTCCAGTTGGCTCCTTAATAGGGTGTGAAAGAATAAGATTTTAGTGTTTATTTCAGAGCATCTGGTATTGTGTTGATGGAAGCCCAGCATCTGCGCAGCTTTCTTTACAATCCTATTAATATGAAGATATCTAATATAAGTTGTAGTGACGTTGTCATTTTAAACAACGTACACATTTAGACGTGGTAGAGCCATGCTGCAGCTATATTAGTAGTATAGTTGTAGCACGAATGGGTCGGCTCGACCGGGGAAGGACCACGCTCTCACAGAATACCAGCGTCAAATAGCAGCTTGCTGTATTTCGTATGGTGAGTGTAGAGAACCGGAGACCCATTTTACTGGAAAAGAGGCATTCTATCTTAGTCCTCACGGGTGACAACGCATCTGCATTTTGATTCGCAAACGAGGATAAATGTAGATGTCTATGGGCCACAGCAACCGCTTACCATCAGGTGGACTGTGTGCTCGTTTGTCACCCTATCCTATAAAAAAAAAAAAAGGTAGCAGCACATGAGTAAAGAAACCGTACCGTACAGAGACAAAGATTCATACAACCGCGCTATGATAGGTACACTACGACAAGCTTAAGACGCGTGTGTGCGTGAGCACTGACGGCTCGTCACGTACAGAAATAAACTGCTTTAAACCAGCTAGACCAGTGCTCAAGCTCAGGGTAATGTAAAAAATAATAAGTGCCAAGAACAATTCCTATAAAAATGTGTAAATATGGTTTACTAATACCTACGTAGATTTAAATTTTATCGAGGTGGCCCCAAGATATACCTATGACCTATACCTTTGTTAATTAATTTAATTACTAGTTTGATTTATTAAACTCTGTGCACTGCAATTTCATAATAATTATAAAACAACTTTTCGATGTGATAGTTATCAAATTGAGTTTCTAGAAGAAATGCTAACATTCCTCAGGAAAAAAATTTCTAAAAATTAATAAAAAGTGATAGGCGGAAAGACGTTATAAATACCATGAATTTTATTACCGAATTTCAAGTGTCGATAAGATCTTTAATAAAACTTCATTAAGAATTAAAATCCGAAGAAATATTAATTAATTTATATTTACTAGACATCTCAATCGAGATTGTCTCGAAAATTTCTTTGGCAAAATTAGAAGGGTTGGTGATAACTGCCAGGAATCAACATGTCGACATGTTAGTATTACTAACATCCCGAATATCATAGTACGATTTACTCAAAGAAAAAGAAAATCCGACATGTTGGCGGCAGTTCGTGTGCGGCGCTGCTACAGCTGACTTAGGCCTGGACGGCGCTTCAAGACCGGTTTTTACTAAGGACCATCTGGCACCACATAATGAAACCTTATTTGGAAAAGCGCGTAAACTAGGTAGAGAACTCCATTATAAGTATATTTGGTCACAGGGTTGTAAAATGTTTTTGGCCAAAGCGGATACATATAAAATAATACAAATATCCAATGAACACGATTTAAATAAAATATGACTACTTATTGAGAAGGTTTACATGGTTAACATTGTGTCGATTTTTTTGTATGCATTTGTGTGTTTATTAAATTTGAGCCGTTGTACTGTATTTGATGATATAACTCTTAACACTGTATACGATAGTCAATATAAGCATGCATCATTACTATTATTACGCTGTGAAAATTCATTTATGTGCTATTATTTAGTTTTTAATGAACAAATATCTGATAACTATAATTTCTCTAAAATCCATAAATTGCTAATTAAATCAAAAAATAAATATTCCATAGTTGTCACTACAAGATATAGGGAGATTCAAAATAATAATTATTTTGAATTGAAATACCTATCTACCATCTTAATAAGTACCAAAAAAATTAAAAAAATGTGGTACGAATGTAACATTGTTTTTCCATTATTTTCTATAATAAATAACCTAACTTTATGAAATGGCTACTCGTAAAACAATATCAATTTATGCCGCCGTTGAGCTGTGGGTGAGCATCCCGTTGCGCACCCGACCTATACCTACTGACGACGTTGCGAACGCGATATCGTATTTACACCTTGCCTTACCTATAATATACCTCACGGCGTTTGACACGAATCTTTACTAGCATCATTCTACGATAAAATGATCTAATTAACACAAACCCTAACAGTTTTTCTTGTTTTAGGTGACTTCAATGTGTCACATGCAGAGTGGTTTTATGATGACGACATAGGTAGCATGAACACAAGAACAAGTAATGATCCATTAATAGCCCTCACTAGCGATTTCATGAACCTTTCCCTATTATCACAGTTAAATTATGAATTTAACGTAAATAACAGACTACTTGACTTAGTTTTTTACACGACTGCTTCCTGTTTACGGACCTGTGACAGTCCCTTAATAGCTGAAGATGCCCATCTTAAATCTTTATGTATTGAACTTCCTCTTTACTTACTCAAATCCCTCAAAATCAACACAATAAACAAAAATTGTTCTTACGGTCAGATTTTGATAGTATTAGAAAGGGATTAGTCTCCGTAGACTGGGACGTAAAATGTTGTACTGTGCCTGACGTTGAGGATATAGTTAAATATTTTTATGAAATTCTTAATAGTCTTACAGATAAACATATACCATCTCATATACATACATACAATTTACCTAAGTGATGAGATCATTATTAAAGAACTAGAGAATGTCAATATTAATAAAGATGCCGGGCCAGATGGAGTGCACCCTGTAATTATATTGCGTTGTGCTAAAGAGTTGTTAAAACCTATATCTAATATGTTTCGACCATCTATGAAAACTGGAATCTTTCCTAGTGTATGGAAACGGGCTC